AAAATTCAATCGGGAAGGCACTCAAATAATTTCTTGAAGTTAACTGGGCAGTTCATACATATAAACTGCCCAGTTAACTTAAAGAAATTATTTGATTGCCTTCCCCATTGAATTTTTTGCTGAAATTTGGGATGGATAAACTAGACTTCATGAAGAACATGCTAAAAAAATTTCATCAAAAAATTCCACCGGGAAGTGCCCGAAATGCCCTCGGCCGGACAGAGCATCCCGTCAGGCCGGCCTGACATGAAGACTACTCTACATATACATATGCATATGCATATCATATACATATACATATACATATACATATTGTGCATTGTAGGTCTTAGTTGCGGGTTTGTGATGAGGGTGAAATGCACGGAGTTTATGTCTATCTTTCTGCCTTAAGACTGTACTGATTTCTCATTTAGGCTTTCCACCTGGGTAATATTTAGGGATTTGATGATGATATTATCCCTATTGTAGTTCGGAATATGTGACTTCAATGTAAAAAGCATTTCACCCCTAAATATTCATGTGATGAGTCTTATTCTGCCCTCACTTGATTAGAATGTGGGGAAGAATGAAGTTGATCTGTACCATTTTTACTTTTGAAGCATGAGTTAAAGGCCTGATTTTGTTTCAAATTAGTTGCAATATGATTTGGATAATAAAAATTCCACGCTGTAAAAGACATGTGGCTGACACAAGATCAACTGTTTCTAAGGAATTGATGAGGCTAATCGATGAGGGAAGGTAGAGAGGACATAGTGTTTGAAATAAAAACTTTGAGCATTGTGCACTTCAGCGGTACAAAAGGAAGTCCTGGGATTAGACAAGGCAGTCACAATAGGCAGAGGGGATTCATAAAATTAGCTCAAAATAGAATGACAATGGTTTTAAGCATGAAATCCAAGTTACCTCTAGTAATAATACCACCATTGGTCTATGCTCTTGCAGGGATGAAGGAGTTCACTGGGGAATACAAAATGGGCTTCAGCTGTCTAGGAGTACAGTCATATATTTTAAGCACAACAATATGGATTCATTAAGGAGTACGCTGGAGAAAGTTATTCAAGAGAATAAGCGAGCTAAGAAACTCAGACGCTATATTGTTGTGGAAGCAGTATATCAGGTACTCAGTGGTTATAACAAAATCAAAATTTGATTATAAAAGCACGTTGGCACCACATAGAGCATTCTCCCCCCAATGAGGCCTCAGAGAGTTCCATTTTACATGACTTTAATTTTAACTTCTGCATTCATTTGCACTGTACTTGTTTTCCACTGCAAATATTACCTTCATGCCTGTTGACCATATTTAGCGCTACCTGCAGAATTCTGGTCAAATTGCTCCATTGGATGCAATCATAAAACTTAAAGAACAATATAAGTTCCGTGTTTTACTGGATGAGAGCAATTCTTTTGGTGTTCTTGGCAGTTCAGGGAGAGGTCTTACTGAACACTTCAAAGTACCAGTATGTTATGACATACTTTTCTTAAATTTAGTCATTAAATATGTGTACTTGTATTGGATGATGACATCTATTCACAGGTTGAAAAGATTGACATCATAACTGCTGCAATGGGACATGCATTAGCTACTGAAGGAGGTTTTTGCACGGGTAGCAATAGAGTCATTGATCATCAGGTACGATGAGTGTGCTTTAGTTGCATCTGCAAAGTTGGTCACCCAACAAGACCATTCAAGTTAATGTATGTGTATCTAAATATTTTGCTACTTATGGCAGCGACTCAGTAGTTCCGGTTATGTCTTTTCTGCTTCTTTACCTCCATACCTAGCAAGTGCTGCAATCACAGCCATCAATATCCTGGAAGAAAATCCTGCTCTCATTACCAAACTAAGGGAAAATATCAAGACTATCCTCACGGGTCTGTATGTTTTAAAACTATCTTGTACTGTCCTTTGACCCGGTCCAAGAATTAAGTGCAAGAATGATTTCTTGGATGCCTGCAGGTTTATCAGATATAAAAGGTCTAGATTTAGTGAGTGATCCTCTTTCTCCAATTGTATTCCTCAAACTAAAGAAGTCAACTGGTTCTATAAAGAGTGACCTACAAGTGCTAGAGGATATTGCTGATCGAGTAAGTACTGTTCTTGATATCCAATGTAGCAAACATGCACGAGCACACACATGTATGCATGTTGTATGTATATATGTGTGTGCACGTGTGTGTGTATTGTATCTAGACGCAAATGCTCCATTCTTGATCAAATATTCTGTTTTATGTATCCTTGTCTAGCGCCCCCCTCCAGGCAATAGACTTCCCTGGGCTCTATCTACAATGTTTTTAGAACTAATATGTCATGTAATACATAAATTGTCATTGCAGGTGCTGAAGGAAGATTCAGTTTTTGTTGCGACCACTAAGAGATCAACGCTGGACAAATGCAATTTGCCAGTGGGAATTAAGTTGTTTGTTTCTGCTGGTCACTCAGAATCTGATATGATGAAAGCCAGTGAATCTTTGAAAGGAGCTGCTGCAACATTGTTGACCTGTCAATAACTAGGCCCTGCAATTTTACGCATCATCCAGCCAAATTCTAAGTAACTCCATGTTGAGGGTGTGAAAAAAATCAAATTTATGTACCTTTTGTGGCAATTAACTATGCATTTGCGGGAGATATCTATTGATTTCATTCTTGACAGATCTTACATACTAATAAGTAATAATTGTGTATGTAGAAAATGTACAGAGGAATTGTTTTTTTAATGGAAATCGTTTATTTGAGATCATAATTAGTATTTCGTAGAAAAGATAGCTCAGAACTGAGACACTGAGTAGCCCAAAATTGAACAAATCGCAGCTTTGAAGATTGATTCGATCCTCAAAGTCTCAATACACACAATAATTGTAGTAAAATTAAACATCACAAAACTACGCATGGACCTGGACCGGTTCTTGTCACGGATCGGTCGGTCTTTGAAAAAATGTATGGAGGAGTTTAATTGGGACTGGGACTTTTATTTTCGGTTCCTGGATAGTTTTGGGTCCCCGATTGGTCTCAATTTTGGACCAGTCTCGGCCCTCGGGGTTTTTTATGTTTTTAACACACTTATAACCCTCCTGGATCTACACCTCTTTTAGACTTTTAAGTGGACCTATAACCCTTATGAAATGTTTTGCAATGGTTTAATAGCAAAACAAAAAAACAATAATTGAAAACCGCTCCAGTCCTAGTCCAGACCTAAAAAATAGAGGTTCGGTCCATGCCAACACAAGACTAACAAAAGCACACATAATCCATAAACTAGTGATTTTTTTTAATGAAATATATATAAATTTGGATGAGATTTGAACTTGTGATATTCTTTCTGGGAGTGTCACAGTAATGTCATCAGACTACAAGATATTTGAGCATAATGCAACTATTTTAAAGCCTCTCTCTGTGTCAAAATTTATATTTTAAAACAAAAAGGTTGGGTATATTTTTTATGTGTACATCATTCACACACCTTGTCTTTTTACACAGACAAAATATCTATATACAAACAACTTCTGCATTTAGAGACGAGTTGTCTATATACAAATATTTTTCCATAAAAATATTGATATGCATGGGCGGATCTATGTTGGGGCAGGGGTGGGCTCCAGCCCAGCCCAGCCCAATTTATTTTTATTATTATAGGTATAAGTTTAATTTCCAGCCCACCTCAAAATTAATGTCTAGCCCAGCCCAAGCCTACCAGCTTTGTAATTCTATTTGATTATTAATTGAATATTTTCAATAGATAGTAAAATAGTTTTTATTTATTATAAATTTATAATGATTAAAGATAGAATTAAAGATTAGAAAATGATTTATTTATTATGCAATTAAAGAATAGAGAACAATGTACTTACTGTTTAGGCATGTAAGAATGGATTCAAAATCTCAATTCAATTTTAAAATTGGGAATACTTATTAGTTTTATGTACATCGACTATTTTTACTTATTAGTTTTATACTTTTATAGAAGTATTTTAATTCATACCAATAAATACTAAAATCTTTAATAATCAATAATAAAATTATAAATCACACTAAAAATGTTAAAATTTTAGATATACTACCTCCATCTCGTTTTATTTAGCCATCTTTGACTCTTTAGTCAAAGATGGTAAACTTTGATCCATCATTTTAACTCATGTTTTATGTGAAACTTACTAAATTTATACTTTTGTGATAAACTTTTTAACAAAGAACATTTCCATTTCATTTTAATATTATCAATTTTATTGTATAAATATATAGTCATTCAGAGTTTAACTTCTTTGACTTGAAAAGCCAAATTAGTCTTGATAAAAGTGGGCGGAGGTAGTATATAGTTTATTTCTATAATTTATAAGTTATCAATATGCTCGAGTCCAGATCGAACTGAACATGACTATTCTCGAATTCATCTTGAATAACTATTCAAACTCAAAAAAATAGTGGCCGCTTTTTTTGTAAAAACAAACTATTTAACCTAAAATTTAGCCCGTGTTCGAGATTGAAGCTCATTAAGATTTGGTCATTAAATTAAATTCAAAATAATGATCGAACTCGAGTAGTTAAAAAAAAACTCAGTTCAATAATTATCAGTCCTAAGCTAAACCTTTTGTATGCTGTACCGAAAATTTTTATTGCTTAGCTCACCCCACCCCTTATTCCTGGATCCGCCCCTGTTGATATGCGAATAATGTAGCAAAAGAGTGTACACCAAATATTGTTCATTTTAAAGGCATGGTTCACTTTCAAACCTTTTTCCACCTTTGAGACAAGTTCTCCAAAAAAAGGATGACACTCATCCCTAAGGGGCCCAACACCGACCGGACGGCATGATGAGAGAATGTAAATTGGACTATAATCACAATCAGACAGATAGAGAGTGATGCTCTATTTGCGGTACTTGCAGAGACCCTATGCATTTTTCATCATAGTAACCCCTCATCGCAGTTGCAGAGATTCGAACTCGAGATCTAACCCTTTGCTACCAGTTGAGCTGCCCTCACCCGTCACTTTGACAAGTTCTCCAAATTAGACTAAACGGTGTCGCTCTTCCCTTGCCTGTTGCAGAAGCCAGAAGAAAGAGGTCAAGGTGTGAGTTGGCGTGTTATCCACTTCTCGGTCGAGCTAAAAATTGAAGGCAGTAATGGCAGCTTCATTATCGTCAACAATCCATCTCCAAGGAAATGGGACAAAGCTCTCATCTTTTCCGCCTTATTTCAATATTTCTTCAAACCCAGGCATCCCTCTCCATTTCCTCCACAGTCGCAGTAAGCCCGTGTCTCTCATTTCCTCTCGCAGGCCTCTCACTGTCTTCGCCATGGCTCCTCCTAAGCCTAAGCCATCCGGTGGAAAAGCCAAGAAAGGTAACAACTTCTATTGCAGGCCGTGGTGTATTTATTTTCATATTGTAAATGCCCCCTTGCTTGGGAATTAGTCATATTGAGTTGAGATGGGCTTACAGTCACTGCCGTGGTAAAGCTGGCTCTGGAGGCAGGGAAGGCGACGCCGGCTCCACCTGTAGGACCCGCACTGGGTGCGAAAGGTGTCAACATTATGGCTTTTTGTAAGGATTATAATGCTAGGACTGCAGATAAAGCCGGATATATCATTCCTGTTGAAGTCACCATCTTTGATGTTAGTTCCCTAATTTCTATTTTCTCTATCTTGATCTTCATTTTTCATTCATAGGAGAAATGTTAAACTTCAGCCTTTGTTTATGTTTTAGTTCTGATTTTCCAATTCAGTGTGTTGGTGTTTGACTATAACACCTATGGTGAAGTTTGTTCATTAGGTAATTTGATTATGTCACTGTTGGTTGACATTGATGCAGGACAAAAGCTTCACCTTTGTCTTGAAGACACCACCTGCTTCAGTGTTGCTACTAAAGGCAGCTGGTAGGTTTTGGCTTTCCACTAAAGTTCTTCTCAATTTCTCAGCTTTCTCTACTTTCCTTAAATAATTCCTGAACTCGGGTTTTGTTAAAAAATGTTATCGCTGAACTCAGCTTAATTGCAACAAAGTGCGCTAAGTATGTTTTGGCTGATCTACCCCTATTCCTCTATGGTTGAGAGGGATGACTGTTTAGCTACAAACGTTTAGTACCCACATCTGTTTATTTACTGTATACACTCTATACCAGCTTTTTGCTATGAGTTTGCTGTATAATTGTTTCAGATAATTTTAGTTATCTTGTAATAGGAGATTTGAGGCCCCTTGTCTTGAGATTGGAAGGATAAATATATCCTCTGTTGAAAAATTTGGTTTACCCTTGTACATACATGTTTTGGAAAAAATTGGTAGGAAATGTAAGCTACATCACTGAATGGAGACACCATGTAAACCAGCAATGGTTATAGTTTATATCTATTGCTTTCTTGCCCAACCCCTGAGATTCAAGCATCTTTAAAATACGGTTTGGAATTTTGGATAGCTCAGTAAGAGGAAAATATGCTTTAAGCTGGCTTGTGTGGAATCCGAAGTTGAACTATTACAGAGAGAATTATGGGTTAATAAGACCTTGGGTTGAATTAGCTAAAAGATTATATTCAAACTTTTGTCTGGTTTGGCCAAAGTGCCTTATGACCTACTTGAATCATCCCAACCGAAATCCTGAATTCTTTACGGCTTCAAGTCAAAGATGACTTATTCTGGCAGATGTAAAAGGTTATTCGGTAGTCAATTCCATCTGTAGGAAATTGTTGCTGAATATTCGCACTATATCCAAAACACATCTCTTGGTAATTCATAAAACATACTTTTTCTGTTACTGTCAAATAATCTGCACACACTTGATTGCACACACTTGATAGGTAAATATGAGAACTAATCATATGTTAACGTGATTAGTAAATGAGCTTATTGTTTATTCTTGTTGCACGTGTTGAAGGTGAAGACTAGATGCAACTTCTGGATTGAGTTATTATAGCTAGCATGTTTTCTTGTTTCTGACTATTAAAGTCTCAATTGGGACAAGTAAATGAGAAATGATGAGTTAATAAGACGCCAGATTCAAGTAAATTAACTAAGTAGCTCATAGGTGATGTTTAATCTTTTAGTGTGGTTTGACTTCAGTTCATAGCGATCAATCAACTAACTTCAATATAATCTTGAATTCTATATGAAAATGCATTTACATATTAGTACTTAGGATTTCATTCTTAAATGTCCCAACTTTAATGAGAGTAACTCAGTATCTGATTTGTTTATAAGGTTTATTTGTTATTCTCTATCCCCAGTATGGTTGGGGGATTTCGGAGGGGAGGGAAGGGGAGGAGTCATATTTAAATTTAAAATATTTTTTCCATTTAAAAAAATTCAAATAAAGTGAAGACATAATAGTATATAAAAATACATGATTTAACTAATTATATAGTTATTTGGAGTTTAAAACTAAAAAATTCAGATAAATTAATAAAATAAAAAATCAATCCTCCCCTTCCCTCCGAAATCCTGCAACCATACGTATTTCCTTTTTGGGTTGTGCCAAAGTAGAATTGCATTTCCTCTTTTGCAAATGATCCTACATACTTTTAATACTTTATCCTTCCTTTTACCTTTTTTTTTTGAAAACTATCCTTCCTTTTACTTAAATCATCAACTTATCATTCCAACTTTACTTGCTTTTTCTCTGCTACAATAAAAGTAGAAGATATTTTAGGTTTTTTTTAATCCCACTGTCTTAATCTGCATGTCCAAAAGTTTTGTAACTATTATTTTGGGATGGAGGTAAGATTTCATGTTTAGCAAATAAAAGGGCAGCCCATTGGTGTGTCCGCAAGGTGAGGGTCCAGGGTAGGGTCCCACCACAAGGATGTATACAAAGCAAGCCTTCCCTTGTTATTTTAACAAGAGGTTGCTTCCAAGACTTGAACCCATGGTCTCTCGCGCCAAGGCTTCATATTTAGTCAATGCTGAACAGAAATTGCAACAGTGACTTGTGTATTTGATCTCACGAATCAAACGAATAGTAAATGTGAGATGCAGAGTAAAACTAATACTTTTGATTGATTAACTTTGTAGGAGCTGAAAAAGGTTCCAAGGACCCGCAGAAGGTGAGAGTGGGGAAAGTCACTATTGATCAGCTGAGGGCAATTGCTCAAGAAAAGTTGCCAGACCTGAACTGTTCAAGTATTGAGTCAGCAATGAGGATTATAGCCGGCACAGCAGCTAATATGGGCATCGATGTTGATCCTCCCATTCTTCGACAAAAGGAGAAAGTAGCTTTGTGAATCATGTAGTTTCTGTTCCCTTAGATTTTCCTTTGTGTTGCCCATCACACATCACAGTTTGCACTCTTCTCCCATGTTTTTTTTTGTGTGGATGAAATGTAAGTATATATTAACACCCAAAGAAATAACAAGTCAATGTTACAAGCAAAGTGCATATCCCGAAACAAGGGATACCATAACATCAAGATAGAGATCAACAAAAGTCAACAATTTGAACCTAAAAAAAGACACATTAGGATCAAATTAAACTCAACAAAACAAGCTCACTAACAAAATTAGGAATCCCTAATTTAATGTCCAAAGAAAGCATGGAAAGGGTTAGTAAACTTTGTGCCAAAGCAAACCTCCCCTTTCTTCTTAGTAACCCTCGACAGACTCTCAAGACAATGGGCGGTGAAAGTTATGCCCCTCTTATCCAAATTATCAGTAAGTCGCAGAAAGGAATCCACTCTAATGACACTAGCCTGGACTAGTGCTGGACTCGGGCCGGTTCGGGCCCGGTTCGGGTCTGGGCCCGGCCGGGCCTCGGGCCAGGAAAGGGGAGGCCCGAGCCCGAACCGCCGGTGGCCGGTTCCGGGCCAAACCGGGCCGGGCCAAACCGGTCCAATTTTTTTTTTTTGGTTCTCCTATTTAATCCCCTACCCCTCCCCCTCAACCCCAAACCACCTCAAATGACCCAAAATACCTATTCCAACCCAAGACTTAAAAAATTTTTCAAAAAAAAATAAAAATAAAAATAAAATCCGGCCCGGACCGGGCCCGAACCGGCCGGGCCGGTTCACCATATGGAAGGCCCGGAACCGGGAACCACCGGGCCGGTTCGACCCGAACCGCAGGTGGACCGGGCCACCGGGCCGGGCCGGTTGCTACAGTGGCCGGGCTGGGCCGGTTCTGGGTCGGGCCGCCCGGCCCGAGTCCAGGCCTAGCCTGGACGAGTCTAAACGGTTTGACAAGCAACTCGAAAGTCTTACCATTTATAGTCTCACATTTGATGACAACATCATCTTGTTTCAACTCCTTTTCACTCCTCACAATCCTTCCCATAGCTTCGGAATCGGTGGCCTCGTGGTCCTCATTTGAGATGCTCCCCTTGGAAGTCGTGGCAGTCACTTCCATTGCTTGGTCAGTCATTTTTGCGGTTGCAGAAGCACTCTTAACAGTCTGCCCTTTAGACCCGGTCGGGTCAGGGTCACCCCCGGTCGGGTCAGGGTCACCCCCGGTCGGGTGAGGATCTGGTAGAGGCTTCTGGGCAGCAGATGATTCAGAATTTTCCAGAGGCCCGATCGGGCTAGGGGGGGACCCGGTCGGGTTTCCCTGGGCAGCAGGTTTTGGCTGAGAGGCCCCCAGCCCTAAATCCTCACATGTTTCAACATTCGGATCTTGCACACTATCTCCATCAACCCGTTTGGCAAGTTTTTTGCAAATAAAAGGGTGGTGCCCGAATTCTTTGCAATGAAAACAATAATTAGGAAAAGTTTCATAAAGCACACTTTGTTTGATTACCTTTTTTGAAGGTAGTCGTATAGGAAAAGAGAGTGGCGGTGGCTTTGAAACATCAACTTTGATTAGCACTCTAGCAAATTCATTATTTGTCCTCTCTTGAGTGATCTTGTTCATAGTAATGGGGACTCCAACCATGGATGCCACCTCACTCATAGCTTCATCGTTCCATAGCTTCAATGGTAGTTTGGGGAACTTGACCCAAATCGGCACTTTAAGAAATTCTTCATCTTCAAAAGAAAAGTCTTCCGAAAGTACTTTGAGCATTAGGAGTTTCCCAAATACCATGTAAGGTCCATCATGTAGAACTTTCAATCTATCCTCCTCATTTGTAAATTTAAAGATTACCCATCCCTTGTTGTGGGATCTCACAAAACATTTCACACCCCACTTAGCTCTAAGATCGTGAACCGCTTTGAGTCCGGGGAATTTTCCGGTGAAGTGTCCTACTAGGCAAAATCTCCACATTTCAACCATGGAAGGTAAAATGCGATCACCAAAATCCAAGGTTTCACCTTTGGGAGGGACATATTTCAATTTGATGCCATGTATTGGATCCCGGTTGTCCTAAAAAAGATCACTCCAAGGTTCGGGATTGGCTCCCGGTGCTTTGTCCCTAACATTAATCTGCTTTCCATTTACTGCCTCAGTTGCAGCATTAATAGTTTTCCCAGCAGTATTAATTTCCCCAGCAGTTTATAGTTACCAGCAGAATTAATCTTCTCCCATGTTTCTTAGTTTACCTTATAGGGAGCAGAATGCATTATAGTTATTCATTTGATGGGTGGTGAGCCATGACCTGAAAATAGAAGAGTGAATTGTTGATGGAAAGTGAGATATGGCTGTATGTGTTTGGACTTGTAATAGAAGTTCTAGACTTGCAGAGAATATACAAACTATGTATGACAGTAGGGATGGAACAAGACTGGGACTGAGCGGGTGAAAATTGGGGCGGCACCCGTTCTTTTGGTCCCGTTACTGGTCCAAGCAGCTTCCGATGGTTCAGTGACAATAGGCTATAACCAATGTAAAAAAGTATTAACACAACATTACATTACCCAGTACCACAAAAGCTCCCAACCGTAAAAGCTCCCACTTACGGTTGGGTCAGAGGGTCAGATGTTACGCAACTTTAACCCTGTATTAAAGCACATTAAAACTCTTTACAAATGATTCATGATGAAAATTACGTCAAAAATTGCATGGATGCCATTTAAACTAATGGGTGCTTCATATCAAAGAAGTGTAGACAATTTAGTCTGTCATTTTTCTATCATATTCTTAATTCAAAAATATTGAGTCTTTGGCTCCATTGAAAATGAGTGCATTACCTTGAAAATATTTACCACGAGTTTATATTAATAGTAAGTAGTAATAAATGGAAATATAAAAAACCAAAATATTAAGCGCCCGATACTTGTTAAGTTGAATTACATTATTATTTAATCTAGTTATACTAAAGTTTGAAAAATGTATGAGGGTAATTGATTTAATTCAAAAGTGGTCTCATTCATTTTTGTTCAATAAAGTTTTATTGTTTTATTCTAAGACTCAATAAGTCATATTTTGAAAACAAAATATACTTGGTTCTATAAAAACCTAGCAACGCATCAGAGATGATAGTGCGACCATGATGAGCGGGCAATTGGGAAGAGGAGTGCTGCCTTGCAATTGTTCTCTCTCCGACTAGATTGAAGGTAACGTCGTTTGGGGAGATTTGTCTCTCCAACTGGGCTGCTCTTTTGTTGTTGTTGTGTTTGTTCTATTCTACAATTGTTCTTTCCTAGGCCCTGGTGCTACGACGTGTTTTGTCTCTCACTATGTGAGAAGTTGCGTTGGTGTCCTGATCGGCTTTTTCTGGTTAGGGGTTTATGTCTGCCTTCTTTTGGACTGCGTAGTGTATGGAAGAAGCATAAAGAGTGGGTGTCTCCACTCGTTTCTACATCTCTTCAAAACGAAGTAAGAAGAAGAATCTAGTGTTCACTCATATTACATCAGTTCGTCTTCCTCCGAAACCACCTTCGTGCTAGAAAGAATTTTGGGGAAAGATTTTATTCCGGCATTATTTCTTCTTTGGTTATGTTGGAAAAATGTGTGAAAAATTGCATTAAATGGCTATTTTGGGGCAATTGTTTGAGTGGGGTCCACTTCCAATTTGGGTCGGGTCAAAGTGGTTTCGGATTGTCCTTGTTAAGGGCTACAATTCGATATATGGTACGCTCAAAACGGATAACGGGTGAATGAGAAATCGCGTTTCGAAGTTTACCCGTTAGAAGGGAAAAAGGATGAGTTTCTAGTGTGTTAATTTCCCGAATTCGGAGGAGAAAAACCGCGACTTGCGTGCGCGGGCGAACTGCGGACACGAATGTCGTCCAAAAATCTATCTCTCAAGAGATACGATTAATTTTTGTTTCCCGGGGTGTTCCGTTCAGGTGCATTAATTCACCATTTACACACAACAAATACTCCTATATAATGGCTGGCAGGTGGTTTGCAACAACACACGTTCTTATACGAATTCATGCACGTTTTGCACCTCTAAAACACACTGCTAGCAATCTGCAAATTCCTTTTGTGTTCAGCCTGTGTTCTCGTTCGCTGGAACTCTTGTTTGTGTGCTCAAACATTAGTTCGTAGTCATCGTATCCTGGGAAACGATTGTTGCAACGCTCCTAGCACCGTGGGAGGCAACAAATACGTTTTAAGGAAATCATGCGTAGTACGAGCTTTGACTAATTCTGCTTCATCTCCTTTCTTGTTTTTCTCTTGTCATTTTATTTAATTAATTTTCTTTATTTTCCGAAACACACCCAACATGTTATACATGTTTTTATTTCAGTTTGAGTATGTTTGATTTTGATATTTGGATTTTTGAAGTACTTTTGATGGACAGTGTTTTGGTTCCAGTCGTTTTAGGCTTAAAATAGCACATTTTGTGTCTTGCGAGTCAAGTTGCTTTGTATGAGGTGATTGATTCTATGTTTATTCCTAGGACTTACGATTGGATCTGTTGTAACTGTCTAAAGGTTGTGTTGTATGATTTATTGATAATAATATAAAAGCTGCCAAGTTATTTTAAAAAGTATACTTAGTTCTATTTTAGATCTTTGTCCACATTTTATTCATATTGTGAGCAATTGCTTTATTATGATGTACTCATGTACATTAGTTATTATTGTGTACATAATTATGTTGTATAGAATGTATATAAGATTGATAGTCGTATACTCGAGAGAAACTCTCTTCTTGTATGGAAAATAATTTGATATTCCAATCTCTTAATTTAGTGAGAGGCTAATTAATCCCATGTTTCTTGGGAAGTTTGACCGAGATGGATGCCCGAAACATGCGCTCTGTGTCACAAGGATGACTATATATAAGTTAGGATTGACCCTTTTAATTTGTTCTATCTTTATTGATATAGCATTGTGCTACGTCTTGAATCAAACAGATTAAAAATAAATACAATAAAATGAGCCAAGAAGAAGGTGGCGCTGAAAAGGGTGCTCCCCGCCTGAACGAGAGGATCCTCTCTTCTCTGTCAAGGAGATCTGTTGCTGCCCATCCTTGGCATGATCTTGAGATTGGTATTTCTCCATCTTATTTTGCCTATTTGCTTCTTGATCCATAATATATGTATGTATATATAGCTGATTTAAGA